AAAAGACTTCTGCGAGTTTTCGCACAGAACCGCCGGTCGAGCCGTCAATTTTGTGGAAACATGGGGGGGAATCACGAATTTGCCCTAACTGTCCTTTGCCGTTTTTACAGCTAGGCAAAAGTACATCTCATTTTTGGTTGGTTCTTCCCTGTATTTAGGCAAGTTTGGCTATAAGGTCCATGTCGGTTTAGCACAATCGTACCAGTTGGGCGGCAAGTTTTTTTTTAGGGGACCTCCCCCCTCATATTTTAAAATGCTGGTTCTCCTTTGCTTCTCCCTTTAAGAGTTGGTACCTGGTGGGTTGGCTCTGTTCATTTTAGGAGGGTGTCAGGGGCTCTATTCTAACCTCTCTACTGGAGGGCCTACTTTCATTTTGGCGGAGTTTCCCGCGCTTTGTTTTGAGATGGCTGGAGACTCAGGCAGGCCGTCCAGCAGAAGCGGCCCGTTCTGACCATTGAGCTGAGAGCGCGCGAGCCCCGGTTCCGGAATTGTGGATACGGTGGATGGACGAAATCCATGCAACGCATAATCAACCCCAGTTTACTACTAGAGGTCCTTGAGTTTAGTGAGGAATCATAACTTTTGGCGGAGAACACCCCCCTAATAAGAAACTGTGGTTGGTTAATATGGGGTCAACATTAACTTACTCACCAACTGGAACTAAGGAGCCCCCCCAAAGCATCCTTCAGTCGCAACCCCCGCATGCTTGATTCTCCAGTTCAGCTTTAGACACAATCCCTGTAGCAGGTCCTTGCCTCAAAACACGATTTGCCCAGGTTTTGTTCTGTAGATGGACGAAATCCTGCACCACTTTGAAAGCAAAGGCGACCATTGTTGGTATTCACAGGGGAATCAAATCATTCCAGGGGTTCTTAGGTGGATATGGGGTCAACATTATGCCCCAAAGCCCTTTTGACGATATCTTCGAGCACCGAAGGCCTATGAGCACTGGTAGGGTATGCAAAATGGAATTGCCCTTATAAACAATCCACCAAGTGATGTCTTGCAAAGGGAAGTCTGGGTACATTCCCACATACCCTGCTGTTTCAAGTCCTATGTCCGAACAAGTTGATTTGAGCATTTCTCGTGGGTGGCAGATGATGTCCACAGGAAACACAGAAGGGTGGATGACCCAAATGTTGCATTAAGGAAACAAGGACACCTCCTTATATCTCTTGATTTACCGGAATTCACAATGGTTTTGAATCATTCCTAGTTTGCCGGAGTTATCAATGGTATTGTGATTGAATGTGGTTACTTTTATTTACCAGGCTGACGCCTGACTGCCGCCCACCCCTTGCATGTTGCTGTCTAACACGCCGGCGGACGAAAGCTCATTCGAGCAATCAGATGTGGGATTGTCGGGATGGCTGGGGGGTTGGTTCGGGGGTCAGGGCGGTTGGCATGGTCGGGATGGCTGGGCGGTAGGGCTGGCATGAGGTGCAAACTTTTCGCACCTCACACATTCATTGGAAAATCAGGCTTGGTTCGGGCGTCAGGGCGGTTGGGATGGTTCCGATGACTGGGGGGGTTGGGTGTCCGGGAGGGCTTGGAAAAATCAGGCTTGTAGGGTGTCCCCCTTCTTGCCCTGGGGCTGGCCTTGGTCCAGCCCTAGGGCTGGCTGGCCCTGGGGCAGGTCCTGGGAACCCACATTTTAGGAAATGAAGAGTTTGCCCTATACTTGTTATTCACGCCAGTCCCCTCCTGGGTGTGAGTCGGCTAGCAGCAGGAGGGGTCGGCGGATTTGGGGCAGTGCGCGAAGGTACACGCAGACCGTGAGCATGCCCTTCCGCAGTGTCTTCGTCAAGCCCTTCTTTGTCCACGACGTGGCGAGTCTGCAGGGGCTGATGCCGTTTCGGTACCCGGTGGGGTTGTGCAACATGTGCTTAATAAACAGAGCGTGCCCCCCGAAAAAGGAAAACCCAAAGGAGGTGATGGTTACTTGAAGCACCTTGAGGCACATCAATCATTAACCGTGGGGTTGGCAACCAACCCTGCGTGTTGGCTGCCCCGCCTCGGTATTCTCCGCAATTGAAATGTGTCTGCTCACTCAGGACTGTTTTTGGAATCTTGCCACTCGAATCATCCAAACCAAGAGGATGAGTGTTGGCATGTTTCCAGCAACCTCACCAAGGGTTGTGGCTTGCGGCCTCCTCCCCAATGACTGTTTGGCTCTGAAGTTGGTGTCCCCTCGTCCCACGTAAGCCGCCCAGCCTCAAAAGAAGCAAGAGAGAGAGAGAGAGAGATAGAGAGAGAGAGAGGGCGAGACTCTCTTCCCCAGTCCTGAACTTTGTACTTTTTGGGAAGACCATTATGGGAGCAAATTCAAGTTTAGAGTATGTTGCCCTCTCCTCCCAGAAAGACAGAGAGAGAGAGAGAGAGAGAGAGCGCGGGAAGTATCCGACTCGAACTGAGGGCGATGACGTGGCATCTTGACTCAATTTTGGAAGGATCACGTCCGTATATGATGCACGTTGGAAAGTGGGGGCCGAAAGTGTGTTGCACCATATTTGGGGCCTCATTGGACACCAACCATGAACTGGGCCAAGAAGCTAACCATAGGTGTCCTTTTTGGTTGTTTTGGTAGAAAAATAGATTCTCCTGGTTTACCTGGGGGTTTAATCATCTACCAGGGCCATCTATTTCTTTTACATGTTTTTTGGGGGGCCCGAACTGAAGCCCCTCACCTTGTACTCGTGAAGGAAATCCGCGGTACCGATCACATCCCTCTTTTTCGGAAAGCACGAATCATGTTAGGGATTCGATTGCGGGGGGAAAGCGGGTTTTAGGGCCAGATACCCTTCCTGGAGTACTCTGGAAAGTGCTACATTCGTCATGAATGCTTGACTGGTTGGTCATGTCTTTGGCCTTTTCTATGATGAAAAACGATTTGCATCAGTTTGCAGTTTTTATTGAGGTATAACGAGCCAAAGCATGATGAAGACCCCTTGCTTGGTGAGCCCTTATTTCCAATGTTGGAATTACTCCCCTTCAGATTGACATGGAACCCAACAAAAAGCCCTCATTTGTAGAAGAACCTGCTTTTGGAGGACCGCGTTTTTGAGGGTCCTTCCATTAATTTGCAGGGATCTCTGCAAAATGTGCAGATCAATTTGTGGGACAGGACTGCTAGAACGACCTGTTGCAGCTTCCGTGTGTTTTTTTCCTTTGTCGCGGGGCGTCCCTTTAGCTCAACCACCACAAAAGGAGGTGCCGACCTTTTTTGCCCGTTGCCGCTGGGGTTTGGATGGGTTTTTGCCGAAAGCTAGTTAATACTTCCGACTGAGCTTTGGTCAATTTTTTCATGTAAAGGTTCGGGACATGGGCAACACAGCAGACTCACTGTATCTCCATATTGTTTCTCATGCCCAGAGGGTCCAAGTATCTTATAAGGATGGCTTTTGCGGGGTAAAACGGGGTCTGAGGACCTCCTTAGAAGGTACTTGGACCCTCTAGGATGGTGGGCACTCTGGTCATTTTGACCGTGGAAATTAACACAAAATGGTGGCTGTGCTTGAAACAAATCTGCCGGAGAGCAGGAGAAATCCACCGGAGAGCGGCTTCTGAGCACTTCGTACCTTTTGGGGTGTCCCGAAAGGGGGTCTAATCTAAGGCACTCCTGAAGCCTTACCTACGACCCTTCAAACATGGGCCCATTTGACCCCTTTCCTTTGGGTAAAGATCCCATTTTGAAAGGATCAGAAGGAGAGTCTAGGTACATCTAGGTACCTTCAATTACGAAAAGTGTTCCCTTTGTATAGGGACTATGGCACTTCTTAAGTTTTATCTTGGCTTTCCAGATATACGGATTGGTCATCACATGTTGAGCCCAGGGAAATGGGGTTCGCCACGGAACCGATTGGCATGGGGGTTACTCATTGGGGACCCTGCTGATGTTGACCACATTCTTATGGAATTTCTAATGTAGGTACAAGGGGAGTGGGTAGTGAAGGCAGAATTCCGCACCCATTTTTCTGGCAAGGGGAGTATCCCTTACTAGCCTTCATCTACCCAGGCTTTGATTGTGATTCAGCTTTTGTCAAAAGGGCGACGATTACTTTGACAATGACTCGGTCACGTTTTGGGAGGACCATCTTAGTGGCATAGAGCAAGTTTGGTTGCTCTTTTGGCCATCCACTCGGGAAGTGAGACACAGTTGCATCAACTTAGCTGCACTGATGCGATGTTCGTCAGCACTGCCAGAGGTTGGTATTAGGGTCAAAATTAAACCACCATATGGACCAGAGATGGTACTCCTTGTTTCCATATACCAGGGTTCCATTTACCGTTCAAACATGGGGTCATGACCCCTTTCTTCTGGGTAATGATCCCATTTTTAAGGGGTGATGGAAAGTCTCTAAGAGCCTAGTTTTGACCCACAGGTGGCGCTCGATTTCTTTAATCTTCTGCAAGCATCCCAAGAAGTGGGCGAGCTCTTCGGAAATCGAGGCTTCCCATGTTGCCCCTCTGTTCGTTTGGCAGGGGCATCCCAATAGGCTGACAGAATCTCACTCCATGACTTCCTGGGCTTGAGTCACTTTTTGGGCTTGGACCAGTTCTAGGTCCCCCAGTAGTGCCCTTTTTAACCCCTTTTTTGGGGGAGGGTTCCCCTACTAAAATACACTACCGAGAAAAAGAAAAACACAGAGAAAAAAAAGGAGAGAAAAAACGGTACCCTTATTCTAACCCCTCTACTGGAGGACCTATAATTTTGTACAGCACACAAAGCAGACTCGTTCTTGCCAATCCACTCCAGAAGCGAGGCAAGCTTTGAACATGATGCTAAGAGTGCCTATATAGTTTTCCAATTTGGGGGTGTTTTTTTGGGGGTACCCGTTTTGGGGTTGGTTTTAAAGGGAGCGCAAGCGGAAAGCAACCCATTTTGCGATTCGGTCCCCTATTTCCGTTTTCGATTTCCCGGCGATTGCTTAGGAGAAGTGCTTGGAGTCTGGCGACTGGAAGAGGCGATCGGGATCGATACCCAAAGCCGACGCGAGGGAAACGTTTCTCTCAAGTCCGGCAGGTGTTGGAAGCAGCGAAATGGGAAGCGTCGCAGGCGGTTTTCAGGCCTAGAGTCTCCGAGTCTGAGCCTTAAATGACCCGAATCGCTCTTTGGGATTTTTGAGTAACCATGTTTCAATGGTCATGTTTAGACTCTAGGTACCTTTTTTCCGGGTGGTTCCAATCCACCAGGAAAATCAAGATGTGGGGGGGCTTCAAGTTCTGACACATACCCACCATCCCGTGAATGGGGTGTGCTTGCTCCTATGGATTCACGAGCCCAAGAAACCAGCATTGGTAGAAGAAGCTCCTCTTGGGGGACCGCTTTCCAAGGTTTTCCTACGCCCGGAGAATCACCCTACTGCCTGTTTCTAGCACCTGGCTGCTGGTTTTGGTTTTGGGATCACTGGGGGGTAAAATTTCCCCCAGGTGTAAGAAAACCCTTAGTTCCTCTGGGATCATTTTGGGCGAAGGAAGTTCCCACGTATTTTCTCTCAACGAAAAGGCTCCGAAGGACTCGCAGATATTTTGAGCCCTTTCTAGGTGGATGTGGTTGTGGTTTACATGTAATATAGTTGAGTGGGTGTGGCCCAAAATTAAAGAGCTAGGGTTACGCAGGCGGTAGTCTTTGTTTCCATTGCCAAGGTGCCATGTTGGTACATTGTTTGTCATGCGAGTATTCTCAATCAACCACAAGACCAGATCAAAACCAGACGTGCCAGACAATGTCGACCCTGGAAATGAAAATAAACTTGCAAAAAGGGGGAAAAGGGTGTTTTCCCCCAAAGGCCCCAAAGTGATCCGAACCCTCTCTAAAAGGGGACACTCCACCCTTCTGAACGGGTCAAACTTGCAAGCCATGGCAACCAAACCATTCACCTAGCCTCAGATTCAGCACGAAATCAACTTATTTTCGGTGGGTGCTTGGCCCATTTCTTGCAGATATTCCTCCTATTTGTCTATGACTAACACGTCCTGGTTCTTTGCCCCATATGCTTCAGGCAGCCAAGTTGCTCCAAACAAATACCGAACAGCTCCCTACGTTCTTTTTTGGTTGGGGGCCAACGAAAATCCGTTCCTCGACCAGACGGAGCCATGTCATGGGAGAAAAAAGGGCCCAAATAAGCCCTTATTAAGCCCTTAAGAAGGCCTTATTTCGGGGCTTTTGGGCTCCCTCTCCCCTCCCTCCCCCCCTCCCCTCCCTCCCCCCTCCCCTCCCTCCCCAGCCTTCATGAGACCGGGCACTTGGAGCAGCGCGGCCAGGAGCGCCTACTCCATGCCCGCGCACCTCCAGATTGCCGACGGCCAGCAGCCGGAGCGCGGCGCCCTCGCGGCCGAGGTGTGGGCGGGCGTTGGCGCGTGAGGGGCGGCTGGAAATTCTGAGAGACAGGCGGATGTGCTCAATGTGCACACAGTACGACATGTATTCATAAATTTGCATACTAGGTCCCCCAGGATCGTGCCCTTCTACCGTTTCTGTTTTGGGGGAGGGTCCCCCTAATAAATTGACTACAGAAACAAGGGTGCACTTATTCTAACCTCTCTAGCAGGACTACGTGTATTCATACTTGTTGCATACTTAGTCGCAATCGTATGCATTTGTATGCACCATTCTCTTGTTGGCGTGGTGGGGTTTTCAACTTCGGCTATTGGTTGCTGTTCTCCATTAAGTGCAGCTGGCACACCGGTCACATGAGTCACATTTGGCATGTGCCCAAGCCAGTTGTGACCAAATGCTTGGACTTTGTGTCCAGGTTTTTCCCCACTTTGGCCATCTATTTTGCTGTGAGAGTCAATGTTGACCCAGGTCAATCAAGCTGGCGGACAACTAGGGGGTGTTTCCGCAAATGTTGAATGATCTCCTCAAAAATGGGACATCCCATACTGTGGATGGACGAAATCCTGCACTTTGAAAGCAAAGGAAACGATGGTTTCTCGGCATATACAGGGGAATCAAATCATTCCAGGGTTCTTAGGTGGTGCGTTGCATGGATTTCGCAACCATCCACATGAGTCAAAGCAAGCCTTGGTTTTGATTCATCCTGGGCTTCCATTGGACGGTAAACTCCGGCGGACGGACTCGCGCACACCCGTTGTCGGCCGGCTCCTCATGGCTACGAATGGCCCCCCCAAGCGTCTAGAAATGCCCGGTAAAAATGCCTAGACTCTCCTTCTGACCCTTAAAAACTTGTGGATCATTGCCCAAAATAATGGCCTTTTTCCAGGGGTCATGGAGAGTCTAGGTAGGCTCTCCTTCTGACCCTTTAAAGATGGTTGCCCATGGGTCATGAGCAACCATTTTGAAAGGGCCAGAAGGAGAGTCTAGGTGGTTTTGGAGTGCATCCGTTTGTTTGTTTTTTTGGTTTGTGGTCAAGGCGCCAATTCGATTCGGGCACAGCCTCATGAACTCGTTCATGTTGCGTTGGCTTCCAAAAATGGATGCGATGACTAAAGTGGGATCCCCATCAAAAGCAACAGAGGCACCTGCTACTTGCTGGGTGCTACTGCGCCCACCCAAAATCCTTGCGCATAAGGATCGTCTTCTCGAAGGAGAAACAAGCAAAGGAGAACCCCCGGCGATCAAGGAGCTCCGCGCAGCAAGACGTAGCGGAAATCTGGGACTTCGGGTTGCCTTCGATTTCTGCGAAGCGACCGGACGCAACATGCGAAGCGACGCCTCGGTTCACGCAGATGGCCAATCGCTGGAAAGCCCTCTGGAGACGAAACGGCGGCAGGCCAAATCCATCCGACGGTTATTGCTCCTATGGTTTTCAAGGGCCGCTAATGGGGGCCGCGACAAATCAGGTCCTTCCTTTTTTGGGGGAGGGACCCCTCTTTGGGGCGGGGCGGCCCAGACAACCATGGAACGGTTAGAGATGCAGCGTCAACGAGTCAACGCGGGGCGTGAATGGCAATGGCTTGATGTTGGGCAGAGGTGCTGAGAAGGCCTGCTAGGTTGGCTGGTTGCTTGCTTGCTTGCTTGCCTGCCTGGTTGCTTGCCTGCCTGCATGCGTGCCTGCCAGCCTGCCTGCTTGGTTTGCTTGGTTGCTTGGTGGCAATGGGACACCCGTCGACTAGGACTTGGTTGGGAGCCTTGAAGGGTACATTTGGGCTAGTGAACACTTCCTTTTGACCAGCTGATTAAGAGGGTCCCCTTGTTTAGCATGTTGTTGGTACTTCCAAAGTTGACGCAGAGGCACGGCGCCCGTTCATGTTTCACCCGCGCCATTGGCGCTTTGATTCTAAGAAAGTGCCTATCCTACAAGTGCACTCAAAACCACTAGGTTTTGGAAGCGTGATATTATTGGCTTTATTTCTCCTTAAAGGTAGTCCGAGACCTGTGGAGACTGTTGACATCATGTCTTTTTTGGATTGCTATGTCTGGAGCAGAACCCACATGCTAATTTCTATTGGCCCTTGGGCGGAACAACCGCTCTGCCAGGACCACATCAGTTTCATCTACGGGGCCCGGGCCTTGAGCAAAGCACCCAGCGCGTTTGTGCGCCCGCACTCAAAACAGCAAAGCAGCGACGGCGTTTGTGCGCCCGTACTCAAAACCCAGGCAGATGAGGGGTGGTAATACAAGAGCGATCCAGCCAATCTTTCCTAGAGTCTCCATGACTCTTTAAAAATGGGGTCATGACCCCTTTCTTTTGGGGTAATGATCCGAGGGCTTCGGAAACCGGAACGACCACATACAGCGCTTTTCCGGCGGAGAGGGTTCTTGGTATAGCCGTGTCTTTTTTTCGTTTTGTTTCGGGGCTCCCCCTTTGGTCGGTTTCCTAAAGGGCGCCGGAACCAAAAAAGGGGATGGGGGGGTCCACTACAGCACACGGCAAAAAACAAAACAGGCCTTGGGTTCTTCGATCGGGTTGTTTGCAGCGTCTTTTGGACTTGAAAATACTTTTTGGGGATGGACCTTTTTAGTAGTACCCTCCCACCAACTAGCATAAAAGTGCACAAAGCCCGTTTCCAAGATTTCGACGGGTCTGTGCACTTCCATGTTAGTCGGTGGGAGGGTAAATGAACAGTTTGGACTTTTGTATTCAGAAAGGAGAAGTGAGCAGCTATCGCAAACGTGGACATGCATCCCAACCTAGGTGATGCCCACGTGTGTCCACCATTTCGGGTCCCCAATTGATAGTCTTGAATCCCCAGGTTGAGCTTAACTTAAGACAGAAGCTGCAGGAATTTCTGCGGGATGAGTTCCCCCCTTAACCTCCAAACCACCAAACCAGACCACCAATTCGAGGGCAGCTGAAGAATTCCTCTTGGGAATTGAGATCGGGTGGTTCCCTTGGCTACCTACTATCATTGGAGCGAGGTGGTGAGGGAGCCCTAATTCGCTCTTAAGCCCTTAAGAAGGCCCGATGTAATATTTGGGCTCCCTGCCCCCGCCCCCCAGGGCCAGTGATACTGCGGATGGCTGCGAAACCCAGAAATCGCACCACGAAATGAACCATGATTGAAACCATGACGTTGCTTGGCAACGTGCGTTGGGGAGTCGAACCAGAAACCGTTGGGTTTCTGATTTTGGTGGATCGCTTTCGTGGGATTTCGCCTTTCCATCCACAGTACTATGACTCTCCATGACCCTTTAAAACTGGTTGCTCATGACCCAAAAGAAAGATTCGGGTCATGATGTTTGAAGGCTCATGGAGATCTAGGTCGTCTTTTGTTTTTCTGTGCGAAACCCGCAAAAAAGTTATAAACACCTTTGGGGCGAGCGTTCTGCCATGAAGTGGAGCGGGTACTGTGCCCTTCTTTGAAACGTACATGGACGTACAAGCCTAGACTCTCCTTCTGACCTTTAAAACTGGTGTCCTTAAAGCTTGGGTTCATGACCCGAATCTTTTCTTTGGGTCCCTGACCAACCATTTTGAAAGGCTCAGATTCGGAGAGAGTCTCCGGGTGGGTACACCGGCGCAAGCGGCTTTCCAGGTCATCGAAGGCGCGAGCTCCCTGCCAGTGGGCCCAGGCGGCCCCCCGGAGGCCTACTGACCGGACGCCCAGTGGCCAGGAGAGACGGGGCGCGGGGAGCGGGCGCGGGCGAGGGCGAAACGAAACGCGCGCGCAACGGGCGCCGGAAAAAGGAAAACACACGAAACGCCCGAACGAGAGGGGTCGGAGTTGGATGGGTTGCCGGTTCTGGGCATGTTTTTGTTTTTGTTTGATTGCCAGGATGGTGAGGAGCCCAGTTTTAGGTGGACGAGGTTGGGTGGGTTTGCCTTTGGCTTGCCTTTACCTCACTGCCAAGGCCCAAGTTCCTGGACTTTCGTCACTTTGGGGGGTTGCACCATGTGGGTTTGTATCATTTTTGGCCAAACTCGGAAAGCGAAATTGCCCGGACCTCCTGTGATACTTTTCGTTCTAATTTGCGGAGGGGGGTTCCCCGGTATTGAACTGAAGTCGCAAAAAAGGGTTTCCCCTCTGCTACGGGGGATATGTGTGAACCATTTCTCCGAAGCACGTAACCCCGAAAGAGCCAAGCATGAAGGAGTCTGCGCAGCGGCCACAGGCCAATAAACAGGGCTCCGGGGGAAAAAAAAAACGATGCCACCATTTGAAACATGAGTAAAGTTGGAAAAATGGTTGGACCCAGGCCAATCATTTTCAAAGATTTTGCAACCATTTGAAACATGTGGCTTTTTCTCAACACCTTTGATTAAAGTTGGAAAACCACCATTTACCAAGCTGCAATGTTCGATCGGTGACGGTGTAGAAGGCATCCGGACCCCTGCAATACTTGAGCAACTCATCCACGGGCTCTGGTCCTTAGCATGGCCCCCGTTGGAAACCCAAAAGAGAGGAGGACCTGTGCTAGGTCCCCCAGTGCCCTTTTTCCGTTTCTTCTTTGGGGGAGGGTTCCAAAACTTAAGTAGGCCACAGAAAATAGGTTGGTGCCCTTATTCTAACCTCTCGACTGGAGGACCTAGTGTGTCTCCAAGTAGCTTGGTGGCTCCCTTTCAGCCTTGATTCCTTAGCTTTTTAGTATAGCTTCTTAGCTTTTTAGTGGGGTTGTCCATTACGCCACTAGCAGGGGATCTGAGGGCAGCCCGGGATGGACGATCTTTCCCCCAATGAAAAGACCTGGGCTTCAAACAGAGGGTGAAACCTCCTCTCAATACAGCAGGGCTGTTTTTAAACGTCGCGGGTTCTCAGCACCAATGCATTCGGAGGGAAACGGTAAACAAAAACAAACCAAAGGAAGCGCAAAAGAAGCCGACAAAGACAACGTGACACCAAAAGGAAGCCCAAAAGCAGCTCTGGCAGACAAAAAGCAAACCCAAGAATCATCGTAAAGCCAAACATGAAAGGAAACACACAGGAAGCCACAAGGGATCATGGGTCCCTCTGACTGGTGAACATGGTAGTGGGAACTAGGGTTGAAAGGTCACTTTCTGTGACAAGGCAAGCCCCCTTAAAGTGAAAAGGCAGGTTATCACAAACATCGTTACTTTCTGTTAACCCTTCAGATTTGTTTGGGTTGGTAGTTTGGGGATTTGAACGGTTCTTGTATCGAGGAAATGGGAAACTACCCGGAACACCACCAAACCACAACACCATGAGGTAAGAACCTTCCTGTGGTTTCGGGTGTCCTCTATCATGCTGGCCAATCAGAAAGTATCCAAAAGGAAATGAACCCCCCTGAAAGCTGCCCCAAATCATCCCAGAGCCTGTTTGGGTCAGCCAAAGGGGAAAACACATCTCACACAAGCCCAAAGGTTGCCCTAAATTAGTGGTTTGGATTTGGATTTGAAGCCCTGGTTCTTGGAGGTAAATGCGGAACACCAACCCAAACCACCAACCCAGACCACGAATTTAGAGCCGAAGCCGAGCAACACCCAGCCGAGCGCCGAAGCGAGGTGTGGTTCACGCCATCTCCACCCAGGGTGGGCGACACTTCGTCCATCGCACGCGGGTGGGGGTTCCGAGCTAGCCGAGACCGGGCGACCCGAAGTGAAGCCGTCGAGTTCTCAAGAGTTGGACTCTCAGTTGCCCAAAGCGAATCGACCTAGCCTTTGGGTTTTCCAGTGGTCTATCTTTCGTGGCCCCCAAAAGGTGATCACCTTTCATTCCTGGATCCGGGCGGGACGACCCGAACTCTTGGCACTTGGATTGGCCGCCTTGAGTCTCAGTAGATGGAGGTCCCCCCGGTTTGACTCATGTGCCCCCATTGGTTTGCGAGTAAACAGGGCTGCTTAAAAGATACATTTTGCCCATTTGAAACATGGCTTTTTCCACCAACATAAAGGGAAACCACCATTTACAAGGCAATGTTTAGGTGTATAATGTAAGGATTCCTGCTAAAGCAAACGGTTTGGCTTTAGTTAAAGCCAACATGTTGCTGAAAAGGATTAAACAAGGTCCCCCGCTATTGCCCTTTCTCACCGTTTCTTTTTGGGGGAGGGTTGCCCTACCAAAATGGACTACAGAAAAAAGTTGGTACCTTATTCTAACCTCTCTACTGGATAGCCCTGAATTCCTGGACCGTCTCTTCTTGGGAAGCCCAGTTTGTTTTTAGTGCCAGGTGTACCTCCTACCAGCATAGTCATGGACCCGCCCCCCCCCCCGCCCCCGGACTTGTTTCTCCTGAACATGGGTTTGTTTTTTGCTAGTCTTCCATTTGGCTAACAATATGTCATATTTCCCGCTGTTGGCTTTAAAGGGAATCCATCACTGCTGGACATTATTCTGTTATTTCCAGGGGACGAAAAGGCGAATTTTGAGGTTCTCGGTTATCAGGTTTTGCATGTCACGCCTCGCTGGAAAAAAGCGGTCCGTTCCTTGCTTTATGCATGAGCCATGGCCGTTTGTCCCTTGAATCTATCGCCTATCCCCCCCTCGGGGGCTCCAGACTCGAGATGTTTAGGGGATAGCGTCCCATAGCGTCTCTTAAAAGCAAGACTTTGGATACAGGTGAATTTGGGGCCATTCGACAAATCGCCACCCGCCGTTTTAAAGGAGCCCCATGGAAAGCAGTTGGTTGGAGGTCTAGTTTGAGGGAACATCAGTCTGGTGTCGACGTTCTGCTTTTTGGGGTCAACCGACAAAGGAGCTGAGATCTGGAAGGCCGCAAGAGTCAGACGACTCACCTCGAGAATTGTTTAGTTGCTCTAGGAGGGAAGCACCTTTGATGATTCTGCTGGTTTTATCAGGTTGGCCAAAACGATGGCAGATTTCTTTTGGCGCCCCGGCTCGGCGTCCGACTTCTTTTCCCTCTTAACCCTTCACGCGTCTCGCGTTTGTGCATGCACGCGCGCACACAAATGTAAACCAACACATGTGCCCAAACCCATTCCAAAATTGGTATTGAATGAATTGGTGCATAGATACATTGGCAAAAATGCATAGATGCATGTACGCAGGCATGCATGCATTCATTCATGCATTCATTCATTCATGCGTGCATCCATCCATACAAACACACGTACCTGCGTACATACATACGTACGTACATACGTGATGTTTTTGATAGAACCATATATTTGTAGGCAGGTAGATAGATAGATACATACAGACATACGTACATTACGTTTCAGGAGCAGACAGCACCCACCTTGAATGTGTCTCGTCAGCCCAGTTTGGGTCAAGCCTGCTTACGGAGCCCCCCATCTCCTATCAGCATGAGAGAAGGCGCATGCGCCAGGAGTTCTGTTGACACACACATACACACATACAGACAGACATCCAGACAAACTTCCATGCACACTTCCATACATGCATACATGCATGCATGCAGACAAACAGACTGTCATACATACATACATATACAGACAGATACATACATATACATACATACTTGCAGAAACATACATATGCTTACATATGCTTACATATGCTTACATACATACATACATACATACATACATACATACATACTTTCATACATTTATTCACACACTCACGTATCTATGTGTCACTTGCGGGTTGGGCCGTTTGTCTCAGCCGAGTCCATGAAGCAGCTGGCCTGCCCGCAGTGGCACGAAGCCTTCTACGCAGGGATTCCGGAGGAGCTTCAAGACGGGCAGTCGCTTGGGGCGGGCGGTGGCCAATTTGTGTTTCTCTGACTCATCCGTTGGAACACCCGACGCGCAATATCAGTCCTTATTCGAATAGGGTTATATTCATCAGGAAATAGGGTTTTGTAAACATCCTAGCCTTCAGGCAGCCCTTAGTTCATGTACCCCCCCCTATCTCCCCCAGTTCGTGGTTTGGGTTCTGCTTCTTGTTGAGGGAGCATGGGAAACCCCCCCCTGACCTCCAAGCATTTGCATCGATATACACTATATGTGTATATATAGATATACAACAAAAAATGACATTTCGGCTTCCACATGAAGGTTTCTTGAGGCGGTGCGACAAAACCCCCCATGAAGCCGATGGGCAGAAGTAGTATACGGGTGTGTGAGGGTATGTAGGGCCGGGTTGTCAAGCTACTTCGGTGGTCCCTTTCCATGCTGTGGGTAGCCAAGGTTACTAACCACCCAAATCCCACACCATCTGAGCGCTGATCATCTACCAAAAATGAGGGGTCATGCCCCCTTTTTAAAAGTGTCAGAACGAGATTCCAGGTAGGAGAAACAGCTCTCTCCAAAACGCCCTGTGAAGGATTTCGAGGTCGCGCGGTTACAGCTGGGCGTCTATGGTTTGAACGCGCCGCGCCCAGAGCCGGTCGGTTGGTTTTGAGCCATGACTCGTGACTGGGGCTGTGATTTTGACTCGCGGGGTCAGAAACTGGGATAATCGGGAAGCCACCGTGGAACGCTACCAAACCACCAATCCAAACCACCAACTACGGGGGAGCTGATTATGTTGACCGTAGCAGAAGGGTTTTCGTTTAAATTAGGGATCTGGGGTGCAGCATGTGTTACAAGAGACGTGGCGGTTAGAAGTGTTAATCAGAAGTGTTGCTCGGAAGTGTCGATCAAAAGTGTTTCTCACAAGTGTCGATCAGAAATGTCGCTAAAGGCGCTAAGCTTGTGTTTGATCACGATTCATCTCCCGACCTTGAAGAAATTATTTTGACGGGTTTTCCACGCCATTAGCGCTCTCCACGGATTTTCATGAAATTGCACGGACTTTCGCTGCCTTTTGGGGGTCTCACGGAGTTTCACGGCCGTTGCTGGCACAAACCCCAGTTTCACGGCCAGTTTGCCGAACGGCGCGCAAGCACCTAAAACACGTTCATGCGCATGTCCAGGTAGAAGTGTCGCTCAAAAGAAGTGTGGATCAGAAGCGAAGTGACTCTCAGGAGTTTCAGTCAGAAATGTCCATCAGTGTCGATCAGAAGCGCTGCTCAGAAGTGTCGCTCAGAAGTGCCGGTCAGGAGTGTCGGCCAGGAGTGTTGCTCAGAAGTCGTGTCACTCAAAAGTGTCGAGCAGAAGTGTTGCTCAGAAGTGTCGCTCAGAAGTGTTGGTCAGACGTGCCGCTTACATGTCTGCGCGAGTGTTGCTCAGAAGCGCCGCTCACAAGTGTTGCCCAGAATTGTTGCCCGAATCGTCGCTCAGAAATGTGTCGCTCAAAGGTGTCAGAAGTGTCGCTCAGGGCATCGCAAATTACTCAGAAGTGTCGCTCAGAAGTGTCGCTCAGATATGCCTGGACCCTAAAAAAGGAACAAATGTTGGCTTATTACCTTTGTTTGCTTATTTCGCCAAATGAGCGGGCTGCCAATTGCACGTTTCGCAGCGATATCTGCTGATTTGGCGTGATCTTATACATCGACCAGTGTTTGTTGAAGGGCTTTCATGCCGGCACCTTCCAAAATAGGGGTGGGATATGTAGGTTTTCATGGCATGGTGCAGGGATGCGCCACAACCCCAAGCGAGGTGAGGTTCAGCTAGGAAATTGCTCCCAACTGCTTCAATCGAGCCAAAATGGCCACCCAAACTACACAGAAATCGGCGGCGGACTGGGCACCAGTTTTGCTATGTCTCCTGAACAGCTGGTGGGAGTGGTACTCAACATGGTAGTTTTGGTGACTGTCCGCAGGTTGAAAGGGTCTAGAGTTCATAGGAAGGGAATTGACCAGGGAACCGATGAGAGCCACGTAGTGGCTGGCAAGCAACCATGGAGAGGTCGTGCCAAAATTCGTGTTTTTTGGTAAATAAGCGTTTTTTGCAACAACTCGCTTTATTTTTGTTTGTTTTTTTTCCGGAAAATGTTCGGACATTGTTTTTAAAGAAGTTTTGGGTGTGTGCAGACTTGTCGCCCGAATCGTGAATCAGAAGGTGGCTGATGAGTGTAGGTAGAAGTGTTGCTCACACGGGTCGTTCAGAGGAGTATCGCTCAGAAGTGTTCCTCAGATGTGTTGCTCAGAGGTGTTGCTCAGAAGTGTCGCCCAGGATTGTGGCTTAACAGTGTCGCTTAGATATGTGTGCAGAAATGTCGCTCGAATTGTGACTCAGGAGTGTTGCCCAAAAGCGTCGCTTACATGCGTGTGTGTGTGTGTGTAAAAGTGTTGCTGGAAGTGTTGCTCAGGTGTGTCACTAGGTTATGTGTGTAGAAGTGTCGATCAGAAGTGTCGATCAGAAGTGTCGCTCAGACATGCCTGGACCCTAAAAAAGGAACAAATGTTGGCTTATTACCTTTTTTGCTTATTTCGCCAAATGAGCGGGCTGCCAATTGCACGTTTCGCAGCGATATCTGCTGATTTGGCGTGATCTTATACATCGACCAGCGTTTGTTGAAGGGCTTTCATGCGGGCACCTTCCAAAATAGGGGTGGGATATGTAGGTTTTCATGGCATGGTGCAGGGATGCGCCACAAGCCCAAACGAGGTGAGGTTCAGCTGGGAAATTGCTCCCAACTGCTTCAATCGAGCCAAAATGGCCACCCAAACTACACAGAAATCGGCGGCGGACTGGGCACCAGTTTTGCTATGTCTCCTGAACAGCTGGTGGGAGTGGTACTCAACATGGTAGTTTTGGTGACTGTCCGCAGGTTGAAAGGGTCTAGAGTTCATAGGAAGGGAATTGACCAGGGAACCGATGAGAGCCACGTAGTGGCTGGCAAGCAACCATGGAGAGGTCGTGCCAAAATTCGTGTTTTTTGGTAAATAAGCGTTTTTTGCAACAACTCGCTTTATTTTTGTTTGTTTTTTTTCCGGAAAATGTTCGGACATTGTTTTTAAAGAAGTTTTGGGTGTGTGCAGACTTGTCGCCCGAATCGTGAATCAGAAGGTGGCTGATGAGTGTAGGTAGAAGTGTTGCTCACACGGGTCGTTCAGAGGAGTATCGCTCAGAAGTGTTCCTCAGATGTGTTGCTCAGAGGTGTTGCTCAGAAGTGTCGCCCAGGATTGTGGCTTAACAGTGTCGCTTAGATATGTGTGCAGAAATGTCGCTCGAATTGTGACTCAGGAGTGTTGCCCAAAAGCGTCGCTTACATGCGTGTGTGTGTGTGTGTAAAAGTGTTGCTGGAAGTGTTGCTCAGGTGTGTCACTAGGTTATGTGTGTAGAAGTGTCGATCAGAAGTGTCGATCAGAAGTGTTGCTGAGAAGTGTCGCTCATGGTGTCGGTCAAAAAAGTCGATCAGAAGCGTTGCTCAGAAGTGTCGCTCAGACGTCTCGGTCAGAAGTGTCGCTCAGCAGTGTCGATCAGAAGTGTTGTTCAGAAGTGTCGCTCAGTGTCGATCAGATGTGTTGCTCAGAAAAGTGTCGGTCAGATGTGTTGCTCAGAAGTGTTGATCAAACATGTTGCTCAGAAGTGTCGCTCAGAAGTGTCGCTTAGTGGTGGTCAGAGGTGGTGCTTAGATGCGTGTGTAGGATTGTTGCTCGAGCCGTCACTCAGAAGTGTCGCTTTGATGTGTCTGTGTGTAGAAGTGTCGCTCAGACGTGTCGCTGATGTGTGTGTGTGTGTAGAAGTGTCGCTCAGGGGTGTCACTCAGAAGTGCGGCTCAGGAGTGTCGCTCAGACATGTGTGTAGACATGCCACTCGAATTGTCGCTCAAGAGTGTTGCTCAGAAGTGTTGCTTACATATGTGTGAGTGAACGTGTCGCTCGAAGCGTCGCTCGAAGTGTTGCCCAGAAGTGTCGCTTATGTCTGTGTGTAGAAGTGTCGCTCAGTTTGCCGTAGTTTGTCGCTCAGAAGTAAGGCCTCAGGATTGTCTCTTGGCACGTAGAAGTGCCAATCAGAGGTGCCGCTTAGGAGCGTAATCCGAGAAATGTCACTCAAGCTCTTGCTCATAGTCGCTCACAAGTGTTGCATTGAATAATCGGTGGAACGATCGGTCAGAAGTTCAGAAGCGTCTCTCAGTCTCTCAAAGCATGGCTCCAGCTGGACAACATAGCTCGAGCTGACGAAATGCACAAGGTTTTTTTGCAGTCTTATGAAAGTCGGCAAACGGTTGGGTAGTTCCCTTTCAACCTACCACTTGACTTCGATGGTTAAAAACAATGGGCCAGCATGAAGAACTTCTTTCGAAAGTGGCGTAGTGGCATTTTGCAAAAGATGAAACGACGGAAGCGATACCTTGGTGACTCCCAGCCATCCCCTTAGCCTTTTAGCCTTTGTTCAGTGGTAGTTCCCATTTAACCCACCAAGAGTTAATCACATTTAGCGGGGAACCTGAGGGTAGCCCTACGTCCAAGAGGGTATCATGTGGCACCGCCTCAGCGCGGAGATGCTAGCGGCGCTCTTGCCTGGCCGGTTTCCTACTTCTCCATTTAATCAAGGCGAGTTGTTTTTTGTTTCTGCCCCGGAAAAAATGGGAACGCCAAAGCTTGATTTTAGCTCTCACCTTTCCCAGTGGCGATATCGAACATGTTGACTGCACCTCTGACCAAGTTTTTCCACTCCGGCTCACAATTCGCATATGTTCACAACATTTGGGGCCAAGCTGGACCAGCGCATCATTCGTGCGCAAAAGGCTTCGTAGAAACATCCGGCACTTTAGCGCCATGGGCCAAGGCGGTTGTTGTCACCAAAAAGCGAGGTGAGTAATTACCCCACTCAGTCATTTAAGCTTAGCAACAAGAACGTACACATGTTCAGAGCTACGAGGTGATTTTTTGTTGCAGCAAGCGAATCATTTCTGATGCTCGATTTTCTCTGGGCTCCATTTCAACCCCACAAGGGGGCAATATCTGTAGAGGGTCTTAAGCACCCTCAAAAATGCCAATTTCAAAATTTGGACTTCTTTGCTTAAAACAAATCGGCGACTGGACATGTCTAAATTCCTCACCCAAATGCAATCTGATCGGGATCCAAGGCTTCGTGCAGGAGGTGAGGGCTTGTTTTGGCCTGGCTTTCGCATCCTCAGTGCTACCCAGTGGCCAGAGGTGAGCTTGTTTCCACTTGGTTTTCTTGGCGTTCTTCCCTCCAACCCCACCAGCAGCTCACTTGTCGAATGTGTGCTGCGGGTTCAGCGCCGCGGGAGGCCAATGGCTTCTCGCATGCCGCCCGGAAGGCTGCGGGCGGCCTGCTGTCTGTGGTGCATGCGGCAAGCGGAGGACGCCGGTGAACTGCTTCGCTCAGTTTGGGCGTGGCGTTGGCCGTTTTGTTGAGTTGCTTAGCACCCTGTTATTTCCATTTGGTTAATATTTTTCTGCCCTGTTGGTTTTAAAGGGAATGTATCACTATTGGAGATATCGTTTTGTTTTTTTTTCCCAGCAGACTAAAGCAAATGGAAGTTCAGGTGGGTTTGAAGGACTGAAGATAACCACCATTCTAGAAGTGCCCCAGTCTCTTCCCCATTCTCTTCATTCGTTTTGTTTAGACACCGCCACCTTGAAGCAGCAGGGTTTTCACTGGCCATTGCTTCTCATCATTCAACCCGAACGGGGCCAGGGCAAGCTGGTCAGCCGAGTCAAGCCTCCGCTTGCTCTAGTTTTGCAATGCCGTGCTGGCAATGAAACCCCTGGTTGCTGCTTGGCTTATTCCCCTGAGGGTTTGCCTCCCGTTGGGTCCCCCTTAAAAAAAAGAGAGAAGAGTTAGAACAAGAAGAAAATGGCTAGTTGGATCAGCGCGGACCCTGGCTGCAATCCGCGGATCGCAAGGAGATTTCCCGACGGAGAAGGAGGCGGCGGGGGGGCTCGGGGGTTTGAGTCACTCACTCCCACGTTGCCATTGAACTACTGAGTCGACTATAGATATTGTTATACTTCATCCAGATCATACCATGAGCACACAGGGAATTGGCCCCTACAAGAGGAACAGGATTTTTCAGGTACTCGGGACCCACAAATGCCTTCTGTTCGTGGAAGGGAGTGTGAGTCACTCTGTGAGTGTCTTCCGGGCTTGGATAGGGTTGACCTACTAAAATAGACTACATGAAAAAGGGTACCCTTATTCTAACCTCTCTGACACCCGCATCTCATGTGCGCAGACGGCTCTGAGGCCTCGAAAGAAGAAGATGACTGGTTCATCGGCCGGGCACATGTGGATCTTACCACGGCCGGGCGCCCGAAAGTCGCTCGACGACAAACGTTTTTTGTGCGGAAACTTGCGAAGTCCAGCGCCGAGTTTGCACACATATCTGCGGTTTGCCCTTTTGAATATTGCTTGAAACCCAATTGGGATCCAGCGTGCAACTTCCGCCTTTCTAACTCTGAGGATTCACATCAGAAGGACTTTGCTTGCCTAGTCGCGCCAACTGCCAACCTGTTTGAAATTACAGAGGCTACTAGTCATGCATAATTAAGGCAGCCAATGCATCCCTGAAGCGGCCTCGGCGTTCTATCCCCTTGCACCCAAGTCGGCCCGTAATCGGAATGACAGAGGATAGGACTTCAAGCCACGCAAAAACGCCCAAAGAATTTGTTCCTAGCTTTCCTTTATACAAAAAGATGGGTTCCAACCACGAATGTGTGGTTTCCTTCAGGTGTTTTGGTTCTTAAAGACAAACGTTGCGTCGTTTGGCTTCCTTTGAAAGGTTCATTCAAAAAGGTGTCCCTAAATTGCGCAGAGGGAGAGAGAGAGAGAGAGAGACATGGCCCTGTAAGGCAAATGATGTGTCTTGTGCTGACCCATGCAGCGTTCGCAGGTCATCAGCGGCTCCCTCATTGCAGAGGAGGTGCCTGTGCAGGGCGGCTCGAACCCCAAGCAGGACCTGAAAAGAGCGGATTGAATAAAACCGAGACAACAAACAATTCCGCCAGTAACGTGGGTCGTTTGCCTGGGGAAACGTTGCTTCAGGTGTTGGACTTATGTAGCCGATGTTGAAGATCTGTTTGAATGGCAGTGAGAAACTAAACATATTCGGCTTGTTGTCAGCGAATCCACAATCGACCGTGTCCCTTCCTGTGATCCCGAACTTTCCTTTTGTTGCAAAGGCATTTTGTGCGTGTCGTTGTTCTTTGAACCTTTTGTTTGTGGTGTTAACTGGAAACCCAAAGGACAACCACCCATTTTGGGCAACAAAACAAACAAACACCCACACACACACACACCCATTTGAGTGGTAAATGCAAAGTTTACACTTGTTTGGTCAAGCTACTCAAACATGAGCGTGTGTCTCAAAATCTTGAAGCAAGCCATTTGTTGTGGGGGGCTTCGCTTTTGAAAGTGAGATGTATGGATCCCCCACATCCATCCCCAGAAGCGTCGCTATGTTGCCAGACAGCCAACTGGTAGATGATTTTTTGATTATTAAAATGCACCAGGGCTCTTCTTTCAAGAGACATATGTCATACACACCAATTGTTCTTTTATGATCATTGCTTGTGGTCCCCTCCTCACAAACCCGTCAGACCTACATTTGCCCTTACACTGCGGCGCCCCTCACCAATGGGGGAGGGCTGTCGATTCCGGGCAACGGCACAAAAGACTTGGGGGCGGATCCATTGTCCATTCGGCGGAGGGTCGCGGAAGGACTATTGTGCGAGACCATCCATGATCTTCTGAATGCTTTCTAACTGCCCGTGGGGAGCTTGGCGTGCCAATCACAGACACGACCAAATACCTCATTCAACCAAATGCTTGTAAAAGTAAATGGTAATTATACGACGCAAACCATGATTACCAAAAAAAAGAGGAAACAAACACATGCGTAGAGTTCCCTCTTGTTGCTGGCGTCTTGGAACAAGCCGACCGTACACGCAGGACCGGATCACCTCAGGCTTCCGGCTGATGCCCTGTGTCGCCTTTGAGGCTGCCGATGCCGGGCGGGTCAAGCCAAAGCGGCTTTGCTGATTCGTACCCCTCGGAAGTTGACTCTGAGATTTGGTAAGGACACCTGCAGTTGGGTTGGTTTTAAAGGGAATCAATTTCACCACTAAAAGTTTTTTTTCAGGGGGAAAAGAGCAAATGAGACACAATCAAAACCCGGGTAGATGAAGGTTAGCAAGGCACAATCCCAACCATAAATAGCTGCGGCAGCCTTCTTACTTCTTTACATGGCTCCGGTTAGACCATTTTAATACCGGGTTACTCACCTGCATTTGCTGAAATGATAGTGTTGCTTTCCCCTGGTTTTAAAGGGAATCTATCACCACTGGACACATGTTCTCATTTGTTTGGGGGACTTGAGCAAATGGAGGTTTATTGCGATTTGGACACGGATCAATAGACTTTCAACTTTTCCAGAACAAGTTATGTTTTTGTTCAGCGGCAAACAAATAATGGTGCTCATACCTGGTTTCTTGAGGGTCATAGTAAGGCCCATATATTCCTTTAGAACCATGTTGGTAAAACCAAAAGTCAATGGGTTTTGGTCAATGGGAGGTCTGGCAAAAGCCTGGTCGCAAGTGTGTGTATGTGTGTGTGTGTGTGCGTGTTGTCTCCGTTTTCCAGATTTCATTTTTCACCAAGTGGATCCAAAAAGAGGGTAAAACACGAAAGAAAAGAAGACACACTAAAAGGGCCCAGGTGTGCTTGACAAATGGAGACAGCCACGGAACAGCAGGCCCAGATGCGAGGCATCCGGAAAGAGAGTAAAAAAGCAACAGGAAACTCCAAAGAGGAACATAAACCAAGAGGTAGCTGAACACGAAGCCGCAAAGAAGAAGTCCCCTGGACGGTGTTTATATGAATGGGAAAGTTGCTTTTTGTTGGCGCACCTCTGCTTTTGTAGACACGATAGACACGCCTATTTGGCTGGTAGAGTCGCATCCGAAGTGGTATTTTATGGCAGGGATTGTCTGGTCTCAAAATGTTCGGAGCTTTTTGACAAGAGGCTTGCCTTTTCGTCGTAGGCTTTGCATGAAATCGATCACTGAGGCACTTCAAGTTGTAAAGCTTTGGGGACCTCCTCCCCATTGCGAAGCCAACATGAAACCAAGTAACCTGCCACGATGTCCAAGCGGTGCGGCCGAACATGCATGTGGCCTAAAAGGGAAAACCCATCGGCCCCCTACCTGGAGTCTCCATGACCCTTCAAAAATGGGCCCATTTGACCCCTTTCTTTTGGGTCATGACCCCATTTTTAAAGGGTCATGGAGACTCCAGGTAAAATATCCATCCTTAAAACGGAAAACCCACCGGCCCCCTGCTTGGAGTCTCTATGACCCTTCAAAAATGGTTGGTCATGACCCGAATCTTTCTTTTGGGTAATGCCCAACCCTTTTTGTTAGGGTCAGGAGGACTCCGGGTAAAACCAGTCAGACCTTGGTCATATGTGGTCTATTCTCCATCCTTAAAAGGAAAACCATAGGAAAGCCCACCATGTTTGGGGGGGGGGCAAAAAGCCGACAGACCTGGCTTTTTGGTTGAAATCAAGGTGGGCTTTCCACTAAACCCCCAAAAAGTTAAAGACACTTTTTGCAGCACCGGCCCCCTAAAAAACAGTCAGACCTCAAATGTCTTCCCGCCATATATGTTTTTCAACCAAAGGAAAACCCACCATTTGTGGGCCCCGGGCCCTCTAGAAGCAGACAGCGGGAGTTCCCATCCTCAGGTCATGGTGGAGAGGCGCTTGCGCCCGAGCGGGGTGGCCCAAAGGGCAAGAAGCTTCCGGAGGCTTCAGCGTGCGAATTTGTGGGCGTCTGTTTCTGGGGGGAGGAGGGGGGGCCGATTTGTTGGGTGCCTTTCTTCTTCTTTTTTTTTGTTTTTTTTTTTGGAGGGGGGGTGCCCCTTTTAGTTAGTTATGTTAGTTTAATGGGAAGCATATTTGTGGCGCCCCTTGTAGGTTGTTTATGTTAGTTTAATGAGAAGCCCTTAAAAAACTTGTTGGGACCATTGTAGTGGGGAATGCAATTTTTGGACCTTTTTGGGCGAATCCACTCAGGAAGTGAGATGTTAGTTTAAAGGGAAGCCAAATGGAAGCCCACCGTTCTGAGGGCCCCTTATTGTGAGACCCATTTCTTTCGTTCGCGTCATCATCTTAACCATTGTCAAGGGAGAAACTCGGCTCGTGGGGTTTGAACATGGTAAATAAACTGGGAGCGTGTAGTAAGAAAGCCCTCCAACCGGTGGACATATCCGAAGTGTAAATGATGTCGACGTTCAAAAAGCATGATGTTCTCATTCTCATTGGTCGGTGTCCCATGTTGGAAGCCAACTCTCACGTAGAAAGAAATAGTACGACCGCCACTTTTTGGTCGTGCCTATTGTCACGCACATTGTCAACCTCGGTTTGATCCGAGGCACCCTAGCCAGAAGATCCCCCAACACGAGCTAATGTTCTTTTTGAAAGGGGAAGCACGCCTGCTGAGTACGGTTTTGCGGATATGGGGGTTGATCACAAGGGGTGACCATTGGGAAACCACCACAAACAATGACATGTTCCAAATAAGCTACCCATGGTCATTTTGGAGCCCGAAATATAAATCCACCCTGACATATCCTTAGTCCCCCAGTAGTGCCCTTTAACCCTTTTTTGGGGGAGGGTTCCCCTACCAAAATAGAATACAGAAAAAAATCGGGTACCCTTATTCTAAGCTCTCTACTGGAGGACCTACTGTGGATGGACGAAATCCTGCACCACCTCAGAATCCCTGGAATGATGATTCTCCTGTAAATACCAACAAACAATGGGTTCTCATGGTTTCAAAGCGGTGCAGGATTTCGTCCATCCACCGTAGTATCCGAAGTTGGCATGTCCTGTCCCCGTGTTTCACTCAGATTCTCAGATCGATAAGGCTTCGGCTGGCTGAGGCTTCACCATTCACAGCGGCGACGGGGTGCAGATGATTCCGAGGTCTGGGGTGTGCGAGGTTTCGGGTCGAACAAAAATGGTTGAACCGCCCGAAAATGGCAGGGAAGCATGGCCGTCAAATTCGGCTGGGGTCACGATTTTCACGGTTTCTGGGAGGGGAGGGGGGGGGTTATTGTGTTTTTTCCTTTTAATCAGGCCCCGGTTTCTGGAAGTTGTTATTCTCCCCTTTTAAAGAACCACTTAGAGGGCGACTCAGAAATGTGACGGTTTCTGGGTGTTATTGATTGATTGTTTCCCTTTTTTCAACCACTTAGGGGGTGACTCAGAAGTTTGACGGTTTCTGGGCGTTATTGATTGATTGTTTCCCTTTTTTTATTCAACCATTTGGGGGGTAACTTTGATCATGGTAGAATGAGGCCAGAGGGATGAAGATCCTTACCAAGCCTCCCACCCTTTTCTCGTGGAACCTGACGTTGGGGACGAAAAGGTCCATTTAAAAGGAACATGGTCCAAGCTGGGACCCTTCGAACGTCGAACGGTTCCATGTTAGATTGGTGGGAAGGCCTGAGGGTACATGTCGCGCTAAAGAGCTCCAACTTCCACGAAGTCATTGTTTTAGTGCCGGAAAGGGGTCTCGCCTCTGTCTCGCCTTAATGGCAGAATGTGTTCAAAGAACCAGACCCTACTTTGCACATAGGAAAGCGCACCAGAGGGTGTTTAACGATTCTGGTCTAAACATGTTTGAACACCGCCTTTGTTGTTCTCGTGTTGGTCCATTGTTAGTCAAGACCGCATCCGGATAACTTGATTTCCAGATCCTTCGGGGAAGTGAGCCTAGATTGCCCTGGAATGGGCAGGTAGGGTTTCTGGTTTGAACTGGATGAATCTCTGCCCGAACGATTCTATCTTTAAACCCTCCTCCCATTCTCTCCAGGATTCCTACTTTCCGACGGTTCCCGAATCGAAAGGCAGTGTTGGACGTCTAGCCATCGAAATAACGATTGGTGAACAAACATGGGAGGGCATCAACCTTTGGAGCAGTGCGAACCAGGGTCATGTTTCAAGAGTAGTGGTTCAAACAAATGATGGGCAATTCACCAGCCCAAGTAATCGGAATTCCTTCCACAGGTGCGTGCACCAGTGCAGCGCACAACTGGCCAGACAGACCATGCAGAAACGTGTTGTTCTCCAAACCAAAGGGTCCCTCGGATGTCCTTTAAAGAACTACTCCGCAAATTACGTAACATGGAACTCGAAAATGGAGGTGTTATTTCCTACTCTGGAGATTCCAGAGTCTAAACACAGCCTGGATGTGTGGGTTCCTTCCGTTGGAAACGTTTAGTTGTTGGTATTTATCATTCCAGGGTTTCTTAGTTGGTGCGAAATGGATTTCGTAACCACTCGCAGTAGAACAGTTCCTCCCCCCCTCCCCCCCCCCGCCCAAACACACCTCCAATGCTCACTGAGTTCATGGACTCTAAACTTGTTGGGAAGACAATTTTAGCATTTGAGCGGCACTCAAAGAGGTTTGGCGTGGTGTTGCAGTCCCAAAAAACCCGACCGTGTCCAGCTTGGCGGGATGCTTTTGGCCACACAGCTTTGGTGCATTTTGCCAAGGGCTGCTAGGACCTCAACTTTTTGCCAAAGAACTGGTTTTCCGTCTTAGACCACTAAAAGCTAGTCACTTTCTTTCAGCGGGGCTTCGCAGATGTCGCCGAGCTTTGGTTGATAGGCGGCATCACCAGATGACCCGGTCCTCGGACCCCGTGATGCAGAGCCTGCCGGGCTCCAAACCAACGATCAAAATCACCCCGCAACCAGCTGGTTCCTTTAGTTTTTGGGATATATTTTGTTTGAAGCAACTTGTTTTGGGGATCAATGAGGGATCTTTCAGTTTACAGGGGAACCGTTTTGTATTTCCAAGAGGACATTTGTTGGCTGCCTTACGTTGGGGTAACTGAGATCCATTGGAAATTGACGTTGTTTTGCCTTGGAGCGGCTACAGCAAGCTCACCGATCAGAGGGTGAAAACGTTTGCCCACGGTGTAGGTCCTTCCTAGGTTTCGGAATTGCACGCTCATGGTTGATGAAGCATCCACAGCAACCCTGGATCGACTTTGGGTGACATCAAACAATAGTTGCCACTTTGCAAAGAATATGATGGTATGCATATACCGTATTTCTATTGTACATTTAAACAAACAAAGCCTTCCTGGGCTATATAGGACTGGATGTTGACCAATAACCTACAGTGGATGGACGCAACCCTACACCACCTAAGAAGTTCTGGGAATGATGATTCCCCTGCAAATTCCCACAAACACTGGTGCCCCATTGTTTCTTGGGTGGTGCGAAATGGATTTTGTCCATCCACCGTATGTTTCTGTCGGGTGGCATCTCCAGCGGGTTGGGCGAGTTAGCTGAGGCCCATTCTGGATGGCGGCCAACTGCCCATGCTGACCATTGAGGAGATGGGCAGCCCATTGCTTCGAAGCTGTGGTCTCCCCAAAACATGGGGCCACCGTGAAAACTCGCGTTCTTCGAAGGGTAGCTTCCCCAGGATCCGAATCTTTCTAGAAAACCACAAACACCCTGGAAAAAACATATGGTTTTTGAAAAGAGGTTGAACAGAATGGGGAATCAGCCCCTAGAGTTACAATATATGTATATATATATATATATTCGGCGGACATCGGGTTTCCAAAAGTGAAGAAAGCTGCGGGTTTAGACAGTCGCACAGGCATGTCTTTTCTTAAGGCTACCCCTTTTTGGCTAGTTTTGAAAGGACAACTTAAAGGGTCAACCACCAGTTCGGGGGCGAGGGGGGTCCTACTGGGGATGGACGAAATCCTGCACCACCCAAGAAACAATGGGGAACCATTGTTTGTTGGTATTTACAGGGGAATATCATTCCGCAGGTTTCTTAGGTGGTGCGAAGTGCACAGTCTTTTAAGACACATCTATAGGTAGGGTCCCCTATTTCAAGACACACCCATATGGCCATGGTTCAAAACCAATGGTACCATTTTGGGGGTAGGTGCACCACACATTTTAGCCTATTTTAGTGGGGATTGGGATGTTCACTGGGGGTACGGGGTTTTGACCCATGGCCATATGTTTCATTCGGCTGGCTGAACCCAGCACGTCCATGACCGAGTGTTCTATGGTCGGAGCTTGTTTACTAGTAAAACTTCCCCCGGACCATCTGTTACTCAACGACCATAATTTACTGCCAGCCCATTGTTGCTCAAGCCAAATGGCTGTGATGCAACAGGAGCCTTGGGCTCAGCTAAACATCGATACACGTGCAGATGCGCGTTTTTTTTGGAACACTTTCCTGATTTGCTCAGGTGGCAGGCGGCATGCTTCGAGCTGGCAGAGCTTTCGAGCTGGCAGAGCTTTGCGTAAACGCCAGAAACTCAGAGCTCATATGTGCCAACACACGAAAACCCTTAAATGGCCACCTGTCTCAGTTGGATCAAACTGAGCGACGGGTACGTTGACCAAATTGGCAGAAATGATGATTAACAGCGAGTCGGCTGCGCGAGGCCACCATTGTTGCTCAAGCCAAATGGCTGTGATGCAACAGGAGCCTTGGGCCCAGCTAAACATAGATACGCGTGCACATGCACGGTTTTCTTTTTGGAACACTTTCCTGATTTGCTCATGACCAGGTGGCAGGCGGCATGCTTCGAGCTGGCAGAGCTTTGCGTAAACGCCAGAAACTCAGAGCTCATATGTGCCAACACACGAAAACCCCTAAATGGCCACCTCAGCTGGATCAAACTGAGCGACGGGTACGTTGACCAAATTGGCACAAATGATGATTAACGTTAGTCGGCTGCGCTGCGCAGCGTGTCACATGCTTTACCGGCCGAGGCCAACGAGAAGAGTTCTTAGATGCTGGAGGTTCGCTCGCCCTTGCCTCCATTTGCCTTCTCATTGGATGTGCGTTTTAGCCTAAAAGGCACATCCAAACATTTCTTCATCATGCACATGCATGCAAGCTGTTGATGGTGGGCTGGCTCAAACCAAGTGCTCGCTCACCCCTTTGGCGGCACCCCTGCATTGCGAACCCTGGGTTAAGTAAACCATCGAGCACTTTGAAAGGCCCTCAAACAAAAACCCATCGAGCAATTTCAATTGAAAACCCTTTGAAAGGGACCAATACGGGATTTGCTTCGACCGCTCGCTTGCTCGCGCTGCCGCAATGCCCACGGCGAGAGCGAATCCTGGCCGGGTGCTGTTGTTGCAGGACAGCTCGGGTTCGAGGGTCATGTGCAACATGCGTGGCCATGGGTCAGGATCTTTATGAAGACTTTTGCACGGCGGCGTTCGTCAACAAGAGGATCCGAATGTCTCAACAGGAGCGGAAGGCCGGCCAGTTTGTTGCCGTCATGCCACTAAGAGAAAAATGCTTTTCGCTAGGCGTTCAGCTTCTTGAACATCAGTGCGACAACCATCACTGAGGCCCAGGTCGGCAGGGGAGTCCATTCAGGGTGGATGCTCACTAATTGTCAATGATTTCTGTTGCAGGTGGAACACCCGGACAACTTTGACTTCTGTTTGGCGTATGTTGCCACCTTTGCGGGCGACCTGCCAAATCTAACCGATGTGAAGGACTAATGCTGGGTTTCGGCAACATCACCAAGCGTATGAAATCTCAGCCAATTCCCTTGCACTTGGCAGGAGGCACTTCGATGGGTGAACAAGACGTACCGCCTGCACAATTTTGACAAGCAGGAGCTGGAGGCGCCTGGTTTTGTTTGCACGCGCACTATGTTTGCGCGCATTTGTGCCTCTATAGTGTGCATGTGTGTGTGTGTGTGTCTGCGAGTGTGGTTTGTTTCTATCTGTTTGTGTTGAATTTCTCATGTTTGATTGCAGCTTGTTTTTGTTGGTAACTGTGTTATGTTCTGCTATGTTCTGCTCTGTTGGTTTGTTTGTTTGTGTGTTTGTTTGTTTGTTTGCTTGCTTGCTTGCTTGCTTGCTTGCTTGCTTGCTTGCTTGCTTGCTTGCTTGCTTGTTGTTTATTTGCATGTGTGATTGTTTGTTTCTTTTGCTTTTGTTGTTTTTAAATGTATATTTTTCCATGGTTGGATTGAAGGGTTGGTTTAATTGGTTGCTTGCTTGGTTGGTTTGTTGATTGGTTGGTTGATTGGTTGAATGGCTGACTGGTTGATTTGTTGGTTGATTGGTTGGCTGGCTTGTTGCTTGATTGGTTGGTTGGTTTGTTGAATGATTGATTGGTTGATTGACTGATTGATTGATTGATTGATTGATTGATTGATTGATTTGATTGATTGATTGATTGATTGATTGATTGATTGATTGATTGATTGATTGAATGGCTGATTGGTTTATTGCTTGACTGCTTGATTGATCATTGATTGGTTGAATAATTTGTTGGTTTGTAGATTGACTGATTGTTTGATTGGTTGGTTGATTGCAAACTGATTGATTGATTGGTTAGTTGGTTGATTGCTTGACTGATTGATATTCTGGTTCACCGTGGCGGTTCACCCTTGTTCTTTGCACCCCGTTCATGCGAGGCGACGCCTTGAGTTCTTGCAGCTGGTTTGCTTGCCTTTCCGGCTTGCGGTCCAATTGAAACAAGGTGATGTGCGCAATATTGCTATTCGGATTCGATTTGGTTTCAATTTCGAAATTACGCCAAGCAAGGCTAGAAGGCTATATGGTGGGTCGCTTTGACCTCGCAGTCCATCGGCAGCTGGGCAATTCACATATACACACAAACACGAACGCTAACGCTAAAAAACACTTTCAGCTCCAAACAGGCAGGCAAATTAGCTAACACTCAAAGCATTGAGCGCGCACGTGTGTTGATTGTGTTTCTTTGTGCTTGCGTGCGCACGCGTGAGACGTCAACGCGCAGGACTGGACGATTGCCGAAGCATCCATACAGAGAGGCTGCGCGAGCTTCATTTGCAATAGCGCGATGAAGCGATCAGCGGCGAGGCGTGGGCATGAGCGATGCCGTACACGAGGCATACAACGATCTCTGATCTGCAGGAAAGGCCACGAGAAGATGCAGATCTTGAAGGAGGCAGCGCTTTCCAGGCGCCAGGACAGCGCACTTGCGTGGGCGGAGTGTCGGAGAGTGAGAGGGGAGCTCCAGGGCAGGGATAGCGTGCAGGACCTCATCGCAGAGCGAGGGCAGGCGAAGAGAATGTCGAAGAAGGACGGCGTGACCAGAGAGAAGGCGGTGGCTACAGACATGGCCCAGGCATCGACGCTGCCGGTGGACGAGGAGACAGTGGCGGAAGCAGCTGCTGAGCTGGCCAAGAAGGAGCTCGAGCGCTCGTCTAGCGCGGAGGATCAGGATGAGGAGATCGAGGTGACTCCGCACAAGCCCCTGAAGCTCTTGCTGACGGAGGACATCGCTGCTGGCCACGAAGAGGACACGCCTACGCCGGTGCCAATCGTGAGGGAGGAAGACGTGGTGTCAAGCGACGACGGCGTCGGCACGTTCAAGGACAGTAATGGGCGCATGCATTTGTGCACGCATGGCAGGCGATAGATTTGGGTTCGTGCCAGGACAAGAAGCCGCTACTTCCAGAGGAGCCCACGCTCGAGAAGGATGTGGAGGCGAAGGTGGACTGCCTCAAGGCGGAGATCGTTGATGATGAGCTCCCAGAAGACCTTTTGCAGGCCGGCGCGTTTTCAAGTGTTTTGCCACGCAACCGCATAGCAGCGCTCTTAAGAATACCGTGATCCAGCTTTCAAATTGTCGACTTCGCCACAGGCCCAGCGAAAGCTTCGGAAGGCTGCTCGCCTGAACGAGGAGGACCCGGGCTACGCTAAGGATGAGGATGGCGACCCTTCTGCAGATGAGCGCCAAGAGCAACGCCGCGGGAGGGGGCGAGGAAAATCCCGCGGTGGAAAAGGCCGCGGGAGGGGCCGAGGCAAGAAAGCCCAGAAGAATGATGAGGGCGACCCTGGCGAAGTTGCGGAGGGCCGCGTGAAGGCGCCAGTCTTCAAAGAGGAGCTGGACAAGCGTGAAGCCGAGGTGGCCGTGGAGCCAAGTGCTGCGAGCTTGCTGGCCCCAAAGTCGAAGGCCAGGAAGGCGAAGCAGCCAGCAGCGCAGGAAGTGCAGACGGGGCAGAGTTTGCTGGCCCCAAAGTCGAAGGCCAGGAAGGCGAAGCGGCCGGCAGGGCAGGAAGTGCAGACGGGGCAGAGTTTGCTGGCCCCAAAGTCAAAGGCCAGGAAGGTGCAGGATGCGGAGCTGGCGAAGGAGGCGGAGCCGGCGAAAGAGGAGCTTCAGGATGCGGAGCCAGGATGCGATGAGGCAAGCGTGCCGGCCCCAAAGTCAAAGGCCAGGAAGGTGGAGGAGCCGGTGAAAGAGGAGCGCGAGGCAGCGCCGAAGGCTAGGCCGGCGAAGGAGCCCCAGCAGGCTTTCAGGCCAGAGGACCTTCAGGCCCTGGAGAGCATCGCAGACATGGACGAT